TGCCCTCTTCACACTTCCCGACACACAAGATCCCATTTCAGCAGTCATCATGTTAATCTATATGATTGAGGGTCTTCCTTTCCTTCGCCAACCCTCCACCCTTCCCAGCATCATATCCTTCTCCAAGGAATAGCACCTCCTAGCATAATGCCAAAAGTATTTCTTGGCCATGGGATGTTCAGTACTCTTCTTCAACACCACAGTTCAAAGGTGTTATTTTTTTCCTGTCATCCTTATTCATTGTCCGGTTCTTAGATATAGAGCAAGTATTGAGAAAGACCATGGCCTGAATCAGATATAACTTAGTCCTCAAACTGATATCATCATTAATCCTCAAAAATTTGGAGGGGTCCCTAACTGCAAATTTTTCCAGTGGAATGAATCTCCTTATTTCCTGATGGCTGATGCCTAGAGTGTTAATTGTGGATTCAAGCCATATGAAGCTATTGACAGTTTCAGTCTCCTCTCTATCTCTCTATCCATCATGACGTTGCCTATTTGTCCAGCGGTAAAAATCTTTGTTTTCTTGACATTGAGATGCAATCCATAACAAAAGCTGCATTCCTTGATCTGCAAGAAGAGCTTCAAGTCCTCCTTATTTTCAGCAAGCAAGGTTGTGTCATCTGCACAATTATTGATGAGTCTCCCTCCAATCCTGATGCCATATTCCTCTTCATAGAAGCCAGCTTCTTGGATAATTTGCTCAATATACACACTGAATAGTTTTGTAGAGAGAATACAACTTTGACACACACTTTTCTCAATTTTAAACCATTCAGTGTTCCCCTGCTCTATTCTCACAATGGCCCCCTGATCCAGGTTCCTCGTGAGCAAAATTAAGTGCTCTGGGATTCCCATTCTTCTTAACGTCAGCCACAATTTTCTATGATCCACACAGTCAAATGACTTTGCATAGTCAATAAAGCACAAATAGGCATTCTTTTGGTATTCTTTGCATTCCACCGGGATCTCTTTGACATAGTCCTTGGAAAAATGCATATTTCTAGGAAAGATGGAGGGTCAGAGAAAGAAAGGAAGACACTTAGCAAGATAGATTGACACAGTGACAGTAATAATGGGCTTTAGCATATCAGAAAGAGTGAGGATTGTGATGTCAGGGCAAGGTTTAGATCTATGGTTCATAGAGTCACTGTGAGTTATAGTCAAATCCACAGCACCTAACAATAATAGTAACCTCCACCAATTGATTTTTCTCTCTGATGTGTTTAGTATAAGCAAGTCAACCAAGGCTCTGTTTTGATCCATTAAGTTTTCATTGATTAATTTTCAGAAATAAATCACTAGGCCATTCTTCTTTGTCTAGGCTTGAAGCTCACTTGAATCCTGTCTATACCATGCTGGTATTTGAAGTACCAGCACAGCCTGCAGTGATACTTACGGCATCAGGAGACAATGAATTTAGAAAGAATTGCTAGTCTTTGCCTCAAACTTTTTAGTCTTTGTCCCAAATACTTTTATGTTTTCTGCTTATTCAACTCTTAGTTTCCTTAATCTTCTTTAATTTCTTACAACACCCAAGTCTCCATCCACACTCCTCTTCACAAAATCCATCTTCTTGGATCATTTGCTCAACACACAGATTGAATTTTGTTCCTTCAAAGAGGTCCATGTCTCAGAGGAAGGAAAATGCCTTCACAGCGCAGCAGCCTCAGCTTCCATGTCTGTCCCACTGTCCCATTATGCGATGTTCCATGTGTGACAAAATCTCATGAAGCATCAGTTTCCTACTTGTAAAAATTTTCTTACAGGCTGGTTGTAAAGAGCAGAGGAAACCAATCTGTAGTCCTGTGATTGTATTTCCATCCCTGTCTATGTGATTAGCCTTGGCAGCTCTATACAGTTTCCATGATATTAAACTTCTTAAATACTGCAGCTATGTATAGTGAAATCACTAACAAACTACAACCAACTTCCTGTGTTTAAAATTCCCTCTAAGACTGTGAGGACTTTAGCTTAAAGGTTTTGAGGAAACTGAAGAATTGACTTAATGGCAATATAGATGTTTAGTAACAGACGTTTGTGTGTAAGGAAACATTGGATGATGGCATTTTCTTGTTAGGCTCAAGTCTTATGATGAGTGTTGGTAAAAAAAAAAAAAAACAACAAGAAACAAACAAAAACAAAAAAACTTCCTTTGAATAAATTATCTGCAAAATTCTGTAAAGGAGAAGATGGCATGTAAGTGTCAGGTAGTAAATATTTACAATTTTGCCGGCCGCATGTTTTCAGTCACAGTTACTCAACTCTATTGTTATAAAATAATACATACACAAATGAAAATGCCTCTGTTCTAATATAACACTTTATTTACAAAAATAGGCAACAGAGTTCATTTGGCTCATAGGCCATAGTTTACCAATTCATAATGATAAGGGATGTTGCTTTTAAAGGGACAATTGGGGATTATAGGAACCACTGATCACTCAAAAAGTCAGAAATTATGGTTGTCATTGTTCTGTGCCATCAAGTTGGAACTGACTCATAACTAACCCTCCATAATTTAGAACTCCCTAAATTATGGACAGAAAATTATGGTTGAGTGACATATTTCAGGAAGTACTGGAAATAAATCTGTAATTATTAAGAATCTCTGGTTAATAATTCACACACGCCTCCCCCCAAACCATATATGGTCTCCTGACAGAAAAATTAGTCAGCTCAAGTTTTGTATCTGGAGTCATTTGCCTTTGAAAGTAGCTTTTGATTCTGTAGACCTACTGGTGATAGGTAAAATCATGCCAACTCCTCCACAAGGTACACAGAAGAGACCACCTAGAGGAATGGGAGATATCAAAGATTGGGGATTAGGGATAATTTTAGCAACAGTAACCTGTTATTTCTTGACCTTCCTTCCCTACCACAATCTATGAGCACTCTTATCGACATTTTGAAAAGCATAATTAAGTTTTAGTTGAGAGAGGATTAACAATATGACTATTATAAGGGAACTCTAGTGGATTAGTGTCAAGAAGCTGCACTGCAAGCTTGAAGGCACACGATCCAGAACCAACAACTGCTCCATGGGAGAAGGATGGGCAATCTCCACCTGTGTGATTAACTGCCTCTGAAAACCTGCTGGAGAGTCAGCTATGGTTCAGTTCTAACTCCATGGTACACGACAACAACTGTGTTTCATATGACTAAGTTTGAACTCCAAAGGAATGACTTTCCTTCCAATATTAACACAATACTTTCTACAACAAAAGTAATCCACCTTATTCTAGGACACCAGGCTTTCTTCAGATTCAGAACTGGGCGTGAAGAGTGGAGACAAGGAGGCAAGAGTGAAATCAGATCCTTCTTTTTATCTTTACTTTCCAGCAGTACTTTAAAGCACAATTAATATCAGCCACTACAAAGTGTCAGGCATAAAGCTTTCATTATATTCTAATCTAGCTATTTATGTCTTCCTTTATGAATAATATACGTATCTATGTCTATCTGTAATTTCTAGAATTAAAATCAAAGCTCATTAATGTAAGTAATTTGCCCAGAATTGCACCATTTACTTATTGCCGCACACTTTTTAAATTGACAACCGTGCTTAGAGACATATTTGCCGTCATTTGCGGCATCATATTAATTAGCTGTGAAGTCGGAATTTGAGCATAAGTCTCACCAACTCCAAATTCTTTTCTACACATAAATATGCTGTTGTTATTGTTGTTGTTGTGTACTGTAGCATTGGAAACAACCCATATCTTACCCTCTGGAAGGTTCTCAAAGACAGTTAATCGCACAGGAGGAGATTGCCCATCCTTCTCCCACGGAACAGCTAGTGGCCTTGCACCGTGTGCCTTTGGATTGTAGCACAGCTTTTTGCCACTGAACCACCAGAGACCTTTGAGTTTAATTTTAAACTCTTACATTTCAAGCTAGATTATCTGGGATCAGGATTGAACTTCACCTCCTCTGCATCCCTCAGAGTAAACAGTTTAATGTCTGTGCCTTAGTTTCCTAATTTGTAAAATTAAGGTGATGACAATTGTTTTGCCTGCATAGTTTTTCATAAGGGAAAAAAAGGGTCACAGACAAGTGACAAATACCACAAGTGTGGCTTTCTCCACAGAATGTGAACTCTATGAGTCCCAAAGGTACGCTGCTCCATAGGATCAAGATGAGTAATATACTCCGTGTGATTTACTGTCTCTAAAATCCCACTGTCGAGGCAGTTACGAGTCGGTTCCTACTAGACAGTACACTATATAGCAAGCACATGAGTACAGAGGAATTGTCAATTTTGTTCACTGCTTTATTTCTATCATGTAGAATAATTCCTGTCGCATAAAAGGCAATATTGTTGCAAATAGGACAGTAGGATATGGGTTTCCAGGGTAAAATATAGTAGAACCAAGAATTAACTCAGATAATTTGCCATTGGAGTCTCAATTCTTAACGCTTCTCCCATGACAGAAACAGAAATTTCTAATGGGTTTGGCAGTAAGTGTATTTTAAGTTGAATATGAAAATAGTTACATAGCTATAGCATGCAAATATAATCCTATTAAAGGTAGTATCATCACAAATAAGGAAAATATATTCAGAATAAGCAAAAGAAAATTGCCTTGTGGCCCTGCAAATAGTATTGCATAGCTAAAATTATTTTTATCCAATAAAATCACTCTAATTCTTTAGAGGGTTAAATTTGATAAAAATTATAACTCTACAGTACTCTATAAACTCTGAGGTTTGCTTTTGTTTAGTTTTTGCATCTCATATTAGTGTTTATACATCTTACTCCGAGTTCATTGTTAAAATAAACAAAAATCCCTATAGACGTTTCTACTTTTGTAGCCATGATAAATTTAAGACTCAAAAAATGGGGGAAACTGCATAAGATCATAAAGTCAGTTGAGAGCACAAAGAATCCTCAGCCAAAAGTTAGGATTTCATATCCCTCTTTGGTCATAAAATAACAGTGTGAACAAAAGTGTTCTGAGAGATCTTCTTAACTCTGTGCTTGTTCTTTCTCCACACAGGCCGCTACCCTCAGGAAACCAAAGGCACCTACATCCCAGTTCCTATGGTCTCAGAGCTACAGAAGGGCAAGTGGGGGGCCAAGATCATCACGAGAGAGGACAGGTCCGTCCGACTGTCTGTCCAGTCATCCTCAGAGTGCATTGTGGGGAAGTTCCGTATGTACGTGGCTGTCTGGACTCCTTATGGCATCATCCGCACCAACCGAGACCCAGACACCGATACATACATCCTCTTCAATCCTTGGTGTGAAGGTAAAGATGGGCTTACGTTTGTCCCACTAATAATAGACAGTGTTTTTGTTTTCACTGTATCTTTTTGGAGATGTAGCAGAATAGTTATTAAGGCATTTCCCTTTTATGTATATTATACTTGTTTTTCATTAATAAAAAAATTTGCAAAATCTGCCTTCAAGAGGTACATACGAGGATAAAATACATGTACATGATGTTAACGCTTTTGTGCATTTATCCTACGAATTAATTGAAGATTGACTAAAGTTACACAATTAGTTTATTACGGAACTACATGTTGATTTTATGATTCTCTAGGGTGGTGGATGAGGGGATAAAATACTTCTCTCCTAAATTTTGCTTTAAAAACAAGATCCTGGTGGCCTAGTGACAAGAAAGTGTACTGCAATCCCAGAGGTGAATGGTTAAAATCCACCAGATGCTCTGATGGAGAAGGAGGAACAGTCTTCTCCTGTACCAGTCAGATCTGATTTGACGGTACACACACACACACACACACACACACACACACACACACACAAAATACATAATAAAAAGAAAAAAAAAACCACAAGATCCTTTATTCTTAACCTCAGGAAAACAGAATAAAGCCAATTCTGCCCATATGGAACTTGCTTCTTTAACTCTAATGCAACAGCAGGAAGCTTAAGGGTTGAAAAGATCTTCTAAATTTATTTAAAACACACTTGTTGGAGAACCCACTCATAGGTGACCCTCCAGTGGGTTTTCAGAGGCTATAAATCACCTGGAAGGGTTATCCTGGTGGAGGGTGGAGCTGGGAAGTAAGTGGGTTAAGGCACTGGGCTAAGAGGGGGGGTCAACACTTTAACTAATGCTT